TGATTTTTTACAGAGAGGAAGGGAGAGAGAGATAGAGAGTTAGAAACATCGATGAGAGAGAAACATCGATCAGCTGCCTCCTGCACATCTCCCACTGGGGATGTGCACGCAACCCAGGTACATGCCCTTGACCGGAATCGAACCTGGGACCTTTCAGTCCGCAGTCCGACGCTTTATCCACTGAGCCAAACCAGTTTCGGCTGCTAGTATGTATTTTACTTGATATATTTATGTTGCTAAGGTCTGCTTTTATCTTTTTTTAGTATATAACATCTGTGGAAAACCATGTCTTGATTTATACAGGAACTGAAGCAAAATATTGCTAATATGTCTACTACGTTGTTCATGATTTTCTTTCTCAATTTTGCTGATGGTAGACTATATCATCAAATTATTGTCAAGGTTACTGAGTTTTTAAAAAAATGTTTATCTGTTGTTTTGCAATTATTTAAAATACACTTTTGCCCCTCAATTTTTTAATATGATAGATATGTGAGACCATGACTATAATGACTACATAAATATATATCACTAATTTTATGTTGTTCTCTGTTCATAAGACCAGAAGAAGAAATTTAAATGATATGTTTCACTCTATTAAATGTAGACCCATAAGAGTAATGATATTTTTATTTAATATTTTAAAAAGAAAATGTAGTCTACAACATATAGAAAGGTTGTGAGTGCTAATTTACATTTTTCTAGATTAAATGGAATAGCTTCAGGAAGACTGAACACTTTTTTTCCTTCAAGTTTATTCTTGAAAGCATTTCCAATAAATTTTGTAGATTTTAAACAAAAAACAAATTAAAGCTCTTTAAAATAAAACATAACATATTTCTGGTCCAGTTTCCTTGCCCATATTGTTGTAGAACTAGAAGACATGTTATCTCTGTGTCTATGATAGGTAGAGTGTGGTATGCTTCACAGACAGAAAGATAAGAGCTCACCAGTAATTTCTATTATATAGAAAAATAAAAACTAGTCAATCTCTACAGTGACTAGTTATATTTTTAGGACTGTTATAAGTGTTTACATATATTGTCTTATTTTTAATCTTCACATAAACTCTATAGAAAAGGCCCTAGTATTATACCTATTAAATAGATTAGGAAAGTTACAAACAACAGGTTGAGCTTTTGCAGAGACATTTTGCAATAGAAGCAGTATTCAGACTAAGGCAGTATCAGGCCGGAGGCCACATACTCTATAATGTTGCCTTCCTGCTCAATTGATTGATTTTCTTCATTAAATAGATCAATGTATTGCAGAAAAATGTATTTAAAACCAATATGAATCTTTCAAAACAGTGTTATATAAGTTATTCCATTTCAAAGCAGATGCAGTAAATTGATAACAAAGGATTAATATAACCTTTTAGAATGCAGGTCTTATTGGTTGTGCCACACATTTTTATAGAATCTTTTCTTTAGAAAATCAATAAAGTTCTAATTTTAATTATTATAAATTCTTTTCTTATTTAAAAGGGCATGAGTTAGTCATATAATGTTTATAAACTTAGATCATTGTACATTCTGTTAACTGTCTGTCCATCTCCAGATAGTGATTTACAAAAATCTATTTAATTTATATTTGCCCAAAGATAAAAAAAATTAATGAAAAATGAGCCTTGGAGGGCTCTTGACATCTCAAACTGGGATTTCTTACAAGATGGTTACTTTTTTTTTCTTCATAATTTATTATTCTCCATATTTCCTTTTCTGGATCTTACAAATGTTAGGAAACTTAGTGATCTATTTACACTTTAATAATCACAGAATCACAGATATGAGTTATTGCATGTACTGTGCCAAATGCTTAGAAGAATATACAGATTCATGGCCCAGTCCCTGCCTTCAATGAATTTGTCATTTATTTAGTGAGACAATGTACATATAAACAAAAATAAAAGTGACAACTAAAGGCCATATAATAATAAGCCTTTATGAATAGCTAGAGTGCAGTTTTTTTTTCCTGCAAATGTCCAGATATTAAATATTTTAGAATTTGTGGGCTTTATATGATCTCTTTTTTACCCTCAACTTTTTTTTCGTATCTCTTTAAATTATAAAAAGGACCCAGCCAGCATGCTCAGTGATTGAGCATCAATGTATGAACCAGGAGGTCATGGTTCAATTCCCAGTCAGGACACATGCCCAGGTTGTGACCTCGATCCCCAGTGTGGGGCTCGTTCCTCAGTTTGGGTGCACAGCAGCTGATCAATTATTCTCTTTTATCATTGATGTTTCTATTTCTCATTCCCTTTCCCTTCCTCTCTGAAATCAATAAAATATATTTTAAAAATACATATACACATATATAAATGTTCAACTGACTAATAATATTTTGTTTTCACTTAAATATAATACATGACCTGTACGTTAATATCTTCTCTACCTGGAATTAGGCTGCAGTCAATCTGAATTCTATAATATATTCTCTTGAGATAAAAAGTCAGTGGATAAAGTTTCTGAATGTACACACACACACACACACACACACACACACACACACATCCTGTTTACAAAACCCAAAACTTCAGGACAAAAAGCTTTCTCTTTACCTCACAGGAAACACTCCATTACTCTTGCTTATAAATTTTCCACTCACTAGGATTCCTCCTTTTTTATTTTGTTCTGATTTCCCAATATACCCTTTATTGGAAGCAATAAATTAGAATATGGGGAATCTCTAATAAATAAGCCTTCTTACAATGGACAAAGAAGAGGAGCCTAAAAATAAGAAACAAATTTGATCTCATGAATGTAAATAAAACTAGATTATAAATTACAATAAAATAAAATAGTGACTGTTCATATTAGTAAAGCTCTCTAAAGAAAAATTATTCTAGATTCTAGTCACCATCTTATACTTTTGAAAACTTGTTGGAAATCCAAGATAGAAACTATTACTACCTATTTTCGTGGCTGTAAGAGTTCATATAATTAGTGCAGCACACATGTCAAATTGTGCTTTATTTATTTGGATAAGCATCTCTCCTACCATATTATGAGGTCTTTCATGAAATTATTTGTTTTATTTTCCTTGAGATTTCTAGCATAGTCTCAGCACAAAATAGGCACTTAATGAATGATATTGAATGCATTTAACTGGCATGAAAGAGCAACAGTGTCTGGATGCTTTTAACCAGGACAAATTTGGTGACCATGTGGAACAGAAAACTGATTATGTTACACTTATGAACCAAGAGAAAGGT